TTGAATGAAATGTTGCTTGTCAATGAAAGGTTGGTGTTTTCCCAACCTGCACCCATTGAATGAAAGGTTGATGCTATTCCAACCTCGGGCCTGATGTGAATGGGGAATTTTCAGTTTATTCTACATCAACTGTGGAAGGAAAAAGATATTTGGTTATACGTGTGAGGGAAAACTTTAACTTTTGAGATAGCTTTTGTGATAAAAGGGCCCAATAATATGTAACACTAGTGATGGCAATAAGGGACACCCGTCCCCCCATGGGTTGATATGTTGAATTTTTGTTAGTTATTATGGAAGCAAATAGCTACAGGATCAAATTTTTATCATTCCCCTGCAAACTCCCTGACGGGAGCTAGGCGGGGTAAGGGCAGGGGCAAAGGATGGAGTGGGTGTATGGGGAGATATTTGGCACCAGGACGGGAGACGGGAGAGGGATCTCCCATCCCATTGCTTTCCCTACCCAGCATTGTTATCGGAGCATAGTAATGACAACTCTTCCCACTAGACACTTAAATGCAATGTTGTCCGTCGAATGAAAGGTTGATACTATTCTAACTTAAAGACCCGATATGTGAGGAGAGGAGACAATTGTGAAAGGTGCAGGATGCCTAGTTCTAATGTGTGAGGGGGAAATAACACCTAACAGATTTTATTTTATTTTTACGGGAGAGGGATCCCCTGTCCCGTTGCCATCCCTACCCAGTATTGTTATCGGAGCGTAGCAATGGCAACTCCTCCCACTAGGACCTTGAATGCAATGTTGTCCGTCGAATGAAAGGTTGATACTATTCCAACTTAAAGACATGATGTGTGAGAGGAGACAGTAGTGAAAGGTGCAGGATGCCCGGTAATAAAGTGTGAGGGGAAAATAGCACCTAAGAGATTTTAACTATATCTATGATTGAACTAGCATGTACTAAGATTTAAGAGTACAATTCCTTCTGCTCCATTGGTACGTTGGACCCACAAATTTTAAGTTTCTTGTGTAATTGTTCAATCATCTCAACCAGACTCATTTTTTTTTTGACAAATTGGACCCACAATTTTAAGTTTCTCGTGCAATTGGACCCACAAATTTTAAGTTTCTTGTGTAATTGTTCAATCATCTCAACCAAACTCATTTTTTTGACAAATTGGACCCACAATTTTAAGTTTCTTGTGTAATTGGACCCACAAATAGTAAGTTTCTTGTGTAATTGTTCAATCATCTCAACCAAACTCATTTTTTTGACAAATTGAACCACACAGGTCGGTTCAACCGATTGAAACAGAAGCAAATATGGGATGAATCTAGTTGAAAGGATATAAAATAGGTTAAAATCGGATCAATCCCATGGTGGAACCTAAGCTTGCTAGAGATTGAAATATAAATTAGACTAACGTACATAATCTTCTTTATCTTGCTGAAAAATTGTCCACGGTTTCATTGTATGGTTGACTTCTAGTTACAGTTCGTCCTTGTTTTCACCGTAAGATTGGCTCTCTATTATTATTCGTCAACATTTTCATTGCATGGTTAATATCATATTTTACGCCAACCACAACCCGCCAACATTCCATGTCTTCCGTGTTGGACTTAGATCTTGTAGTATTCGTGACTGACCCTGTGTCTCAATCCATTAGATCTAATAACTTTGCCTCCACAATACTTTAAATTTTGTGTGAACTAAGTATGTGCTTATTTATTACCAACACTCTCTTTAACTCTCATAATTCTCAAAAGCATATGGTTTCAGTTCTTCATGTTAATAGTCTAGAACTATATCAATATCTGTTAGATCATAGTGAAATTTATTAAAAGGATATTGGAAAAGTAAAAATTAGATACTCCGAAGATTTTCCAAAAGTTATGAATCAACGCATAAGTACTCAATAAACCCTTATGAAGAATACGACATATGAAACAATACTACATAAAAGCATGAAAAGTTTAATTAACTAAGATTAAGACTCTAAGAATTGGAGGACTTGGATTTAAATCCTTCTTTCCCCTTCCCCCTACTCGTTTCTTGCATTCCACCCCTCTCTTGTCCAAAAACAATAATAATAATAATTAACTTGCCTACTAAAGAGTACAACATTTATATTCATTCCAACATAAAGGCGTGTAAAGCCTAATTAACTTTAAAAAGTTAATTAAATCAATTAAGGGCAAAATTTGAAGAAAACTCTAAAGAGTTCGAGTCAAGGCAGGAATCTTCCTTAACTTTAGGGTTAATTTTTGTATAGAAAGGAAAATATGGAAAGTTGATGGGGTTAAAAAAAAAAAAGATGCGGTTCGGGGAGAGAAGAAGAAAGGGTCGTTTGAGCCTTCCTTGCTGCTAGGTCGCCAGTACAACATCGGCGACCTCTTGGCTAAACAAAGGCCAGCCATTTGATAAGGAAGCCACGGCAGATCAAGACAGTAGCAGCGGCAACCGCTGCTACTGCCGCACATGGTAGCAATGGCAGCGGCAACAATTTCAGAGAGAGAAAGAGAGCCGGCGGCTTTGGCCGCTGGCAAGGAAGAAGAAGGTGATGATTAATGGTAGGTTTTCCAAGGAAGTATCCCTAAAGCAATCAATTTAACAACGCCACGACATGTTACCAAGAAGTATAATTATGTAAAATCTAGATAGTGAGTTTTGGAGCCGGAATAGAAGATGTAACTTTGTGCCTAAGTGTTTTTATCTTGCTACATAGATTAAGGAGAAAGAAGGTTATGACATATATAGACGTTAAGATCAATATGTGGCTCAATCCTAGCATCGTTACCTGCAATGACACCAAAATGAATCAAGTTTTATGAGATAATTTTTCATGTGTTCATGGAGCAATAATTTGTTGCTCCTATTTTTGTTTTCAGCAACTTGAATGGATCATGCTGTGACAGGAGATTAAATTTTCTGAATTATGAGATCCAACTTGAAGGAGTAATGCCATCAAGATATTAAAAAAATCCCAGAAAATTGCATCCCTAAGTTTTCTTCTTTACACTTCATGAGTACTTCATCAAAGGTGAGGAGGAGAAGGAAAAGGGAAAGATACCAAGAGAAAAGAATAAAAAGCTTAAAAACTCCTTAGTAAAGTTTTTAATTGATTTTCCTCTTAAAACTCTGCTATCAGGTGCAAGCATGAAATATCCCTAGCTAAGAAGCTTTTCGGATTCACAAGCTTATAAAAGAGCATTAATAGTGAATTTGGATCTCTTTAGAAGGCTATATATCTGCATAATTGCTACTCTCAGTTTGAAACTTAACTGTGAAACTTGCCAAAATCGAGAACAACATTTTAACTGGATGGAACTAAATTTTAAATGGAGTCCTTTAACTGTGAAACTTGCAGTTGTGCCGCCCATCTTGCAACATTTTAACTGTGAAACTTGCAGATCTCAACCATGTACTTTAATTTCTCTTTTTTTCCTTTTTGGATCGATCATAACAGTTTAAATTTTGCCAACAAAATAAATTTTCGAGAAATCAGATTCAGATAATGTTACATAACAATAACATAACACATACTTTTAATTGTGAACAATCTTATTATTTCATGTCATTGTTACGAAATTATATAACTTGTGTCTTGTATACGATGCGAATTATAATTTGTCACTAAAGCTTTATACCATTTAGAAACTGTTTGCGCAATCATTTTTGCCCCAGATTTTCTTCTTCTTTATTTTAAGCTAATTTTCTTGTCTTCTTTTTCTTTTTTTTTTTGTTTGGATCATTTAGAAATTTTCTTTTAAGTATGAGCCATTTCATAATTTAAGTTGTATTTAATATGCTACTTACAGATGGGATACAAGATAGACGCCCTCTAGCCAATTCTAGATCTTTGGCCATGTACCAGTACCCTAGTTTTGAAAAATTCAAAATCGCCCAGATACATAGACTCAATATGACATTGTACGGTCTGGGCACTAAAGGTAACATTTTCAGACAGAAGAGAGAAGATTTGGGGTAAAGGATTTAGGGAAACTATAACAATAATCTGAACAGGTAGTGGCTAAATATGCTTTCCTAGCAGTTTTTTTTTTTTTTTTTTTTAAATCTTCGATGACCTTGAGTTCTTTTTTGTTTCTATTTTTTTATGTTGACTCTTTTATAGCTTGATATCCTTTATAGGGCAATAAAGAATGTATTGTTAGTTATATTTGGTTTCTGAGGGGTCATGAGCTATTGGAAGGAAATGATTTTCTTTAGCATTTTTTTGTGATGCAGCCATTGGGATGGATCCCTGAATCTTTGGTACATAAAATTTTTGGTACTTTACAAGATGTAGATAGTTCCTTTTTCTGTAATTGTTTTCCAGATAAATTTAAAGATAGTACTGTTGATGGCCTTAGCCCTTCTTCTCTTGATCTAACACGTTGGCCACACCAGTTTCTAGAATCTTCCTGGGATCAGTTATAAGGTTGATAAATTCTGGAAAAAAAAAACAAAATCATGGTTGCAGGATGGCTTTGATACTAGAGGTACAGGGTATATAAATAAGGGATGAAGCATGCTGGGAGAGGTATATTCGTTTGGCAGATGGCAGAGATAGACATTAAACGAGGATGTCCTATAGTCAAGTGATGTATGATACTTCCTATCCTAATCATATCATATCATAAGAAGTATAAAAAGGGGAGTTGGCTGATATGAGTGCAATAGTGATGGTCCCGTATGGGCACCATCAGTAGGTGGCTAAACATGGAATTTCACATCTTTGTTTTGGTGTTGGACAGATTTTTTTTTTTTTTTTTTTTTTTTTTATATTTCGGCAGAGTTTCCCCTTAAAAAAGGACGAAACTCCCTGCCATCAAACCACAATTTGACAATAAATTTACAAGCTAGTGAAAGTTTAAGCATTTAAAAACTGAAATTAAGATTAAATCTTCATTTTTCCATATCAGGATGTCTTCCAGTGAATCTGAAGGATGATCTTTGAAGATTTTAGCAGTCAATCTTCCTCCCTTGATGTCCTTCTAACCGCCATTTTCACCTTCATTGGCCTTTTCTGCTTCTTATTCCAATTCATGCCAGACACCGTGTACGAAACGTAGGAAATCCTAATCGATCTAATCTAATAGCCCCCCTAACCAATTGCGGCAATTCTGAGAATGTATTAAACACATGACCTGCACTAGAATCAGCACCAAAATTTGCCAAATGATCTGCAGGTGCGTTTGCTTCCCTGTAGCAGTGTGTGATCGATGTGAAATATTGCTTGAACATCATCAACTCATCCAGATCTCTCTGTAAACGCCAAGGACAAGCACTAGTCCCTTGAACAATGTGAACCAGGGTGAGAGAATCCGCCTCTAAGTGTAACTCCAAGCACCCTCGAATCACACAATGTCTAACGCCCCATAGCAACGCTCGAAGTTCTGCCTGCATGCTGGTTATCACCCCGAAGGGCTCCGCGTAGCCGAATACAAAATTTCCTCGACTATCCCGCACAAGCCCACCCCCCCCACTCCTTCCTGGGTTCCCCCGAGAACATCCATCTGAATTCAACTTATAGCCTCTACGTGGAGTTACCCAGTAAACTGGCCTAATAACCATCCGCCTTTGATGACTACCTAATTCGAGAAGCAACCCTTCCCATGTAGGGGCAGAAGGCTGCACCCCCGGGAACCGTGACTGAAGGAAATCATGCAGAAACTGAACAATCCGATTCACCGTAGGCCTGATCCTCATCTTCCGACCTTCAAACACCCCTTCATTCCTAGCCTTCCATAAAACCCAGCATACCACCGAAGGAAGTATATTATGCAAAAACTTTACACGATCATTAGTCCCCCTCCTTAACCAACAAGACCACACCATATGACGCACCGTATGCACCCCACTAAACTCACCAGCAGTACTCTCGAAGTGTCGCCAGACCAATCGTGCCCCTTCTCCTGAGCAAAACACATGATTCAAATCCTCCTCCTGGGGATTCTGACAACACAAGCATCTAGATGGGCCACAAACCCCAAACCTCTTTAGGCGATCCATAAGAGGGAGCCTCCCCTGTAGTAGTCGCAGCATAAAGAAAGAAACCTTGACTGGAAGACCCTGCTGCCATATACGACCAAAAAGCCAAGAATTGTCATTGGATTGACGGATCAATGAGTAAGCCGATGCAGTGGAAAAAACACCCGAGTTCGTCAATGCCCATACCATTGTATCATTTCCCCTATCGGTAGGAGGGTCAATCTCCAAAACCTGCGTAACCAATTCTCCATCCAAGAATTGATGGAGCATGTCCACATTCCAAGCCCGCCGATCTACAAAATCAACCACCGAATGATCATGGAAGACCTCAACCTTGTCACAAAGCGCACCTGACCCCATCCAATTATCATGCCAAAAGTCCAAAGCCCCCTCCCGAACTACCCAGCTAATATTATCCTCCCCAAAACGCTGCATTGTAACCATCCTCTGCCAAACTTGGGATCCCGGATGCCCAATATCAGCAAGACAAGGGTGATGACCTGCACAATACTTCTGGGACATAAACTTTGCCCATAATGATTGTTGTTGTCGAAATTTCCACCAGAGTTTAATGGAAAATGAGTCGTAGACCTGTTTCAAACCCCGCAGGCCTACACCCCCTTCATCCTTCGGCCGACACAAATCTGCCCAACGTATCCAATGGAATTTATCCCCGAAATTCGAAGATCCCCACAAGAACTTGGCGAACAATTTCTCTATGACCATCAACATCCCTTTTGGAGGGGACGCGGCTGCCAGCAAGTGAATTGGCATAGAGGATAACACGCTCTGAATCAACACCACCCTGCCTCCTAGCGATAATATCTGGTTTTTCCAACTCAAAATCCGATTCGCCACCGCATTGTATATATCCGTATAGTAAACCTTCTTGCTCCTTCCGGTATACAAGGGACAACCAAGGTACCGTATTGGAAAGTCGCGTTTATTATACCCTAGTATCTGGTTAACAACCGCTGCCCTCTGAGATGGTGCCCGTGGATGAGTAAGGAAACAACTCTTCTGAGGGTTGATTCGCTGACCTGATGCCTCATTATAATCATCCAAAACCCGTTTAATCAGACGTAGGGATGACTTGGCCCCACTGGAAAAGATAATCACGTCATCGGCGAATGCCAAATGCGTAATTATAGAACAATGAGGAGGAACTTTGAACGGAGTAAATCCTCTTTGTGTGGGTAGCGTGTTGAGGGTTCTAGACAGCACCTCAGCTCCGATAACGAATAAGGCTGGTGAAATTGGATCCCCTTGCCGTAAACCCCGTGAAGATCTGAAAAAGCCGTTTGAACCACCATTAACAAGTACCGAGAACCACACATTCGATATTAAGCGCCAAATCATGTCTATCCAGGTCTCACTGAATCCGAAATATCGTAGCACCTGTAGGAGAAAGGGCCATGAGACTTTATCATAAGCCTTCATCATGTCTAACTTGATGACCACATTGCCACCCCGATTTGATTTCCCGATATCGGCTACTAACTCCTGAGCTAACAAGAAATTATCTGTAATCTGCCTCCCTTGGACAAACCCGCTTTGCTGTGGAGATATAATCCGGGGTAATATCATCGCCAACCTTGCCGATAACAGCTTGGAGATGATTTTGTTAGTAAAGTTGCACAGACTGATTGGACGAAAATGCTTAAAATCTTGGGGGTTCTCCACTTTTGGCAGCAACACAATTGAGGTAGCCGTGATACTCCTAGGTAGTTCAGCACCGCAGAAAAAGCTGACAACCGCCCGGTATAAATCCGATGCCACTACCTCCCAAGCAAAGGTAAAGAATTTCCCTGTAAACCCGTCCGGGCCGGCTGCGCTCTCTCCATCCATAGCAAAGACTATGTCTTTAACTTCTGTAAGAGATGGAATGTCCGTTAACCGTGAGTTTTCCTGGTCTGTTATCAGTTTAGGTATGATCTCCAGACCGGTAAGGGAGGGAAGATCCCCCTCTGCCGTGAAAAGATCCTTAAAGAAACCCACCGCTGCCTCCCCAATTTGGCATTCCCCCTCGATCCACTCTCCAGCAGTACCCCTGACTCGATGAATTACTGCCCTACGTCTCCTTTCCGTAACCAAGGAGTGGAAATATTTGGTGTTCCTATCTCCGTCCGAAAGCCACTTAACCCGCGCCTTTTGTCTCCAAAAACCCTCCTCAACTACAAGCGCTCGGCGCAATCGAGCCCGAGCATGATGTAACTCGCTCCGTCGCTGCTCAGTAGGATCGAGGTCGTATGCTGTCTCAGACTCGGTTACCACACGCTCTGCACTACGTACCCCTTCAAAAATATCCCCGAATGTCGTCCTAGACCACTGCTTGAGGGCATTTTTAACATTCCTCAACTTCGATGCCAATACTTGCAAAGGAGAGCCATTGACTGGATGAACCCAACAGTCCTTGATAACCCCCAGAAAATCAGGATGAGTGGTCCAGATGTTTAAGAAACGAAACGGCTTGGGTTTATTGTCTAGCCTCGTATCCACCGATAGCAACAAGGGAGCATGATCCGACGGGTCACGGCCTAAATGTTGCACCATGAATTGGTACGGTAGCTCCATTGCACTCCCACACAGAAGTAAGCGATCCAGACGCTTCCAGATCCGCGCCGTTCCCGAACGATTATTACACCATGTAAACCTTGACCCAGAGAATCCCGCATCACTGACACCAGCTAGCGCCATAAAATTCAGAAAGTCTGATCCCTCCGACGGTCTAAATGGCAATCCACCCCTCTTCTCCTCTGTATTTGTGACCACATTGAAATCCCCCACCAAAAACCAAGGATTGAAGGCGGGTTTATCCTGCAAAAGTGCATTCCACAAATCCTCTCTGTCCTGCTGCGTACACTTCGCGTGTATACAAGACAAAATAATGGAGTCTTGGAAAAGATGAGATTGTACTCTAATAGTTATATGTTGGGGAGACTCCCCTGTAATCTGACACGTAAACAATGACCGGTAGAAAATCCAAACAGAACCCCAATGATTGAACATGCAACAATCCATCCCCAATTTAATTCTAATATCAGTAATTGACTCCACCCTCAACTTAGGTTCAACAACAACCACCAATTGAAGATCATACAATTTAATAAGTTTCCTTAACCGCCTTAAATTAGGAGCACGAGCTACCCCTCTTATATTCCAAAAAAGTAACTTAATCATCAGAAAGGACAGAAAAAGAATTTGTTGAAGAACTAACCATGGAGCGTAGTGTTCTATCTGACGGGAGACCAACCCGGAGACCACGCGACCTTGCATCCATTCGCTCCTTACGAACAACTTCTTCTAGTTCCAGGGTACCCCCCGTGTCTATATGCCCGGTCTCTAGTGATGACTCTTCTTGTCGGATAAGATCCTTGCCCCTAGGGGAGAGGGTACCGACCCTTCGTTGAGTATCTTGTAAGTCTTCAACTTGCCCCTCAGCAGAACGTACGACCACCCTCGCGGGCAACCCACTCCCCACATCTTCAGAACGTTCCTCTCCTTTGTCATGTGGCAGCACCACCTCGATACCTTCTACCGCCACCGTCCCATAATCCTCCTCCATTTTCCTCTCCTGCTGCGCTGGTATAGTAGCACAGGACTGCTGCACCTGGTCACCTTGCTCAGCTTCGTGAGGCGTACCACCTATTAACTGATCGTGAGCAACTAGCGCTTTGCCAGTCACAGTCTCATTAACTTCTCCCTTTGCCCCATCAATTACTGCCGCATCTTGTATCAATACCGATGGCCTTTCTCCATTACCCTCCAAAGGGCCATCAGGCATGTCTGTATTCGACGTCTCTGCCAACCGTAGTTGTGTTGTTCCAGTAGTCTTGGTATGGTGACCAGATGCTCCTCGCAACTCGGGCTTTAAAACATGACAAGTCTCCACATCGTGACCTTGGCGGAAACAATGTGAGCAGTACCTTGGAAGGTTCTCCACCACCAGCTCTTGCCAAAAACCAGCATGATTTCCATTGCCAATCCAAACCCGCGACGGTGTCGAACGCAACAAATCCATCTCAACACACACCCGTGCAACACTTGGCCGTGACACTGCAAGGGTAGCCGCATCAACTAGCAAAGGGTTACCTACCATAGACGCAATCTGGAAAATCACCTCCTTATTGAAAAAGTGCAGCGGGAGTTTTGGTAATTGAAGCCAGAGCGGAACCACCGACGACTCCCTGTCAACATGGAAGTCCGTGGTCCATTTGAATACTCTCATGGGGAAGGAAGACACATACCAGATCCTCCTAAACCATACACGATGGAAATCAGCTTCATTGTTCAACTGAATTAACACATGTCTTACGTCCAACAAGCCCACCACCGGGTTCTCACGTAAATCCAGCGATGCAATGAACTTCCTCACCTCCTCCAACTTCGGTCTACGTCTAGAGAATTTCCCAATCAATGCGAAACGAAATGGACTGGCTAGAGCTTCGACCGCTGCCTGTGGGAAAATCAACGCAGGTTCCCCTTTGTGTGTAGCCTCCTGTGCCGCAAAGGATAGCGTCGGCTGCTGTGAATTCTTCGTGAACAATTCTGAAAAGGATTTGCGTTGAAAGGTAGGAGGGGCAGGCTGCCCTCCATCAGGTGGGCAGATGGCAGCCATGGACTGCCGCACCACTACCCAAGCCGTTCCTTGGAAACCTTAGCACAAAATCCTTAAAGAATGTAGAACTTTTTTCTATTGAACCGGAATGGATTTCACCTTTGGCTAGAAAAAAAAAAAATTATTATCATGAAGATGATGATTGCTAGTGTTTGAACGAGGTAGAGATGATGGGCTGATGACTATACTTGGAGGCATGAACTAGCAGCCAAGGCGTTGAACGAATTTTGAACTTAGTTTGAAAGAGGCAATTTATCAAACAGCTGATGGGTTATAAAAAACCTTTATTATTTTGCATGAATTGTAAAGATAGCAGCCCGCAAAATTTTTGCAACAAAGATATTTTGATGAAACTATAGTAATGAACTCACCAGAAAGTTAAATCTCATTGACAAAGATATTTAACTGTCTAGTTGGGTGCAAATTGGGCATTGCTAGTTTCGAGAGTGCAATTGAAATTCTCTTCCGTCGGAGATGCATTTGTTGAGTTTGAGTAGTCAAATAGATTTCCAAATTTGATTAAGCATTGGAGATACAAATACTGAAAGCTTGAGGGAGTTGGGGATGATGTGAAGTACCTTTGTAAAGGTCTACGGAGGGGAAATTGCCTGAACTGAAAGTCTTACTTCAAATCCAACATTAATTATCCAACTACTCTCTCAAATTTATCTTTGGACAGATTGACTTGCTTAACATATACGGTGGTGGTGTTAGCTTACGTGGAAGCAATTGGGAGCTTCTGAAGTTGCATGTCTTTGTTAAAAACGGTGCAAATGTACTTTAAACAGGTGGCTAAATTTGAAATTTCACCTTAACATATTAGTATTGTATAGATTGAGTTTACTTTACTTTTGTTGCCTTATTACGTGGAAGCAATTGGAGGCTTACCCATTTATTTTAATTTTTTTGTAATCTCATTTAAATTCATTTTTACAAATTAAGTTATCAATTTATACCACCCTTTATACTCATTATTAGTTTAAAATATTTACTTATAATGTTCAATAAGCCTGATTATCAATTTTTTTTCATCCGTACTCTATGTCACAAAATTACATACTATTTAATAATTGATCAATAAGAATATAAAAATTTGAACTAAGTACTATAAAGGTTAACATAAAAATTTAATCCAAAAATTTTGAACTCCTAGCATTTTTTTCATGTGTAAATTTAAATTTTCATTTTGGAAAGGTAGGAAAATATACTAAAATTTGTCATAAATTGGTAATGCTAAAAAATGAGCAAGTTAACAAACTAAGAGAAAATAAAATGATAAAATAAAATCAACAAATAATAATAATAATAATGAAACAAAAGTAGTTAACATCCTGACAAAATGAAGAATCTGAAAAAAAAAAGGGATGGAGAAAGAGAGGAGGTTTGGGAGAAGACAATTCTAAATGATTTAATTAAATTTGATGAGTTATCCAATAAAATTAAATGGGTATTATTGGGTAATTCATTTTATACTCATATGCAAAAATTTAAGATACCCATATCCATCTATTCATAGTCGAGTATGGGTAAATTTAGTTAAATAGGTTTGTTTGCCATCTATAGTTTTGCAATAGCTGTTGACATTAGTTTTCTACCATGCAACCACCTATTTTTGTTAATGTAAATAGTGGTTTTGTCTACAGCTCTTTGTATGAGTTTTCTATCCTGTAATGACCAATTTTTGATAATGTACAGACTACTACAAAATAGTGTGCCTACGTATCCTGAACTACCACTCTTTCATCATCAAATTCGCACACACCCACTCTTAACTCCACACACACAACTAACAACTTCACAAAAAATTGGGCACCCTCATGCATCGCATGAGGCACAAATAAACTAGTAATACTATAAAAGAGCGAATGGTCTTAGGAACAATGATTTTGGTCCCTCATTGGCACCTTGAGTGTGTGGGCTTTTTGGTCATTTTGCAGTGATTTCCAAAGAGTGAAGCGGTGCCATTGGAGACATTTGTGGCTAGAATTTGTTTGTGGAGTGTATACTGACCATTATATCCTTACCTACCAATTTTGCCCCCGAATGACTAATTGGTTATCAAAGCCAAGGTTGGCTTTTTTGTCTGATCGCCCAGCTTCTTGAATTGTCTTCACAGAGCAATCGGTGTGCTGCGCTTTTTCCCATGCAGTGGCTTCCTCCTATTGCGTGGTTTTGTCTGCTACATTTCATCAACTTTTCCTTTTCATTAGGACCATCAAGAACATTCATATATTAGGTACCAATTTTACCTATCAAATACTACAGATTAGTGCAGATGATATACTACCGATCGCACAATAGGTAAGATTGTCACAGTAAAAAATTTTCCCAGTCAATTTTATAACTTCAATCAATTGTCGAAATAAAATCTGTCACAGAATCAACAACCAGATGTGCTTAATGTCAGCAAAAGACTTGGAAAAGAAATCTACCGCCTCCAAGTGAGGAAATTTACTCATCCTCTCCGAAATAATATAGTAACAATGTACAGCATAACAGCATGCTTACCAACTGAAGGAGCACTACTGCCAGTTCCAGCAAATCAACACCCCAGCCAAGTGACCGAAGACAAACTAAATCAACTTTCCACCATCACGGTCACATTGTAGAGATCAACTTTTGCGGTTTTGCCTAGCTAATGTGTATAGTATGCACTTTATGATGCTTTTGTCAAACTTAAAGCCTCATCTCCATCCACTGTATTTCTAACAGCTAGAAGAATCCTTTTGTCGAGGCTAATTAGCTCTTGCTAACTTTTGATGGCCTACTGAGAATACTTACTAAAGGCCATATATAAATATATCTCATGTATGAATGTAAAAATAGAAATAATTATAAGAACATGCCTGAAAATTTCTGAAAACTCAATCCGTGAAAATATGGGCACCCTCGCGCCTCGCGGGAGGCCCAGGCCAACTAGTAGCCATAAAAGTGGATTTTTATTGTTATAAGTATACGTGTCAAACAAACTTATTTAACTAAATTTACCCATATTCGTCCATGAATAGAAAGATATCGGTATTTTAAGTTTTTGTATATAGGTACAAATGAGTTACCCAATAATACCCATTTAATAAATGGGTATTAATGGATAACACATCAAATCCAATTAACCCATTTAGAATTGTCTCCCCCAAACCTCCTCTCTTCCCCCACCCATTTTTTTTTTCAAATTCTTTATTTTGTTATGATGTTAATTACTTTTGTTTCATTATTAATATTATTTATGGGTTTTATATTATCATTTTATTTTCTCTTAGTTTGTTAACTTACTCATTTTTTTAGCATTCCCAATTTATGACAAGTTTTAGCCTCTTTTTCTACCTTTTCAAAATGAAATTTTAAATTTACACAAAAAAATATTAGGAATTCAAAATTTTTGAATCAAGTTTTTATGTTAACTTTTATAGTACTTATGTCAAATTTTTATATTCTTATTGTTCAATTATTAAATAGTATATAATTTTGCGACATAGAGTACGGATAAAAAAAAATTGGTAACTAGGTTTATTGAATATTATAAATAAATATTTAAAACTAATGATGGGTGCAAATGGTGGTACAAATTGATAACATAGTTTACAAAAATGAATTTAAATGAGTTTATGAAAAGTTAAAATAAATGGGTTATAAATGGATAATTGAGTTACCCAATTCATTTTTTGACTTACCCATTTATATCCATCTAATTAAATGGGTATAAATGAGTTGACTCACTTATACCCATTACCCATTTTAACCAACCCATTCCCGCTCAAGTCATCTATTTTCACACCTCTAGTTATAAGAAATTAGGAAAGATTGTTGCTTGGAAGTATTTTGATCAGTTGTATTTTTTTCCCCTTCTAGTTAACTGTCTAATGTTCCTTTGCTTTATTTACTTCAAATAATGCTAATCGATACATTGTAAATTGGGGAAGGGATGTTTTCCTTTAATTATTCATTGCATTTTCTCTTTGAGAAAAGGAAAGTGAGAGTTGAATATGAGGTGGAAATACAGTGGAGATTAAACTTGTATTTTCTCCTGGGGAAAAGGAAAGCTTTTAGGGGCTGTTGGATATTGAGAAGGACGAGTTAAATATGATGTGAATGGTCACTTAATTTTTGATCATTTTAGAGGTTTCTGCAATTTCTTTGTGCAAGATTGTAGCATGCTATATAAACAAGACGCTGGACAATAAACCCAGCCAACTGCTACAAGTTGATAGTACTAGCTGAAATGCCTAGGCTCATCTTCCTGTTGTTTTAGGAAATAGAGGGAGAAGAAAATAGTCATTGTGGTAATTCTGAACTGATGCTTGAAGTGTGTTTTGTGCATGCTTCTCATGGTAGATGTTGGATAGTGTAGGATTATTACTCGATGCAGCTGAAATTCATTTGAGATACTATACAGCATAGCTCTTACAGGCTCAAACATGTATCATATACAAACAAAGGAATGCTATTATTTAGTCTTTCTTGCGCCTCGTATTGTCTACAGTTTTGGCGTATTGTTTAGTAGTTATCTGCTTAAATTCACCCTTTTGATGATTTAAAATGCTTGTCACTGTCTGAGGATTTGTTTTAACTTTGTCTTAGCTCTTTATTTTGATGTTATATCTGACCCACAAAAGGTCTAAATCTCTTCTAGTGACCAATTTGCCTAAGAAAAGTTGGTTTGAAAGTCAAGAACTTATTTAAGAGTTTGAAAAGAGAGATCCCATACAAAGCGGGGAGCTTTGTGGGAGAGTGGTTCCAAAATGGAATTTGAAACTGTTTGACCCAGCTATTGACGGCTACTGCTCTGCAACTCTCACATGAAAAATACATTAAACTATTAAAGGGGTCTTGCTCGCCAAGTTCACTGGTGACTATGGTATATGTAAGTTGTTATATAGTTATGGTGATACATGATTATGTAACAAAAGTAATGGTGAGTGATATAGTATTGATGTTAAAAGAAAAATTAATCTCTCATCTTTGAAAATATAAATAAATGCTTAATAACCAAAAATTCTCAAGTGTTCAAAAGACATATCTGTTTCCATCCATACTCTTTCTGAGACATCACCATCTAGAGGAATTGATGGAGAAAGATTAATCAAATCAACTATTGTTCTCATTGCCTGGCTCCAAAAGGATTTTGACATCTTCGCATTGGAGAGCATACATCTGACTCGTTCGGTGATGGATCTATTTATCTTTTCTGCTACTCCATTCTCTTGAGGAGTTTTTGGTACTGTCTTTTCTAATCCGATCCCATGGCACTTGCAGTAACTTTCAAACGGTCTCCTGTACTCACCACCATTATCAGCACGAACACACTTTAATTACTTATCAATTTCTCTTTCAACTTTGCTATGCTAGAGTCAATAATTTTATTTGAGGAACTATTGAACTCAATCACTTGCTGCCGTTACTCTTCAGTTTTTTGTTGAGGTCTGCCGTTACTTTTCAGTTTTCTGTTGAGGTATATCCTGTAGAGGTACTCAAATTGGATTAGTGATCGATTTCTAGGTTTCGTCGTAAACCTAATTGGTTACTTCCAATTACGTAAATCAATAAACCTGATCTTTGGATATCAAAGCAAAACACCAAACTTTTCTAGCAAAATCAACAATAAAAGTTACAAAATAAACGTCACCACCAAGAGACCTATATTTGATATAGCAAATATCAATGTGCACCAACTCTAACGGATTTAATTTTCTAGATGGAGAAAAATTCTAAAAATACGACTCTATGTTATTTTTCATAAATGGAGTCAACATAAGGTTTAAGTACATTATCTCTAACTTAAGATAGAAGTTGTTTGCGAACAAGTGTCTGAATCCTCTTTTCGCCCATATATCCAAGTCACCTATGCCAAAGGTCAATTAAGAAATTACAAACTGCATTCACTTCTTTCTTTCCCAACTTGACTTGTATCAAGTAGAGGGTACTCCGCTTCTTTCCTCTGGCAACAATGAGATTTCTTTTGCTGAGTTTCCATTTGCCTCCACCTTGCGAGTTATGGTAGCCCTCATCATCAAGTTTTCCCGTAGAAATAAAATTAAGACGAATATCAAGAACATGTCAAACATTTCTCAAGATCAGCTGGCACCTGGTATCTGTGCATCCATGGCATTTTTAATTTTATCTTCAGCTCAATTAGGATATAATTAATTATGTATCAATAATCTAGCACGTTTCTTCTGTGGTTTAATGCTTTTGTTGAAGTGCGATGTAAGGTTATTCCACATTTTCTCTAGTAGTATCTTCTTGAGGAATTTATCTATCTTTGCAATACCTATTTCTGCTTCAAAGTTAGTTTTAGTTGCTTTCAATTACTTTGTGAAAGTACATCAGAAGCCACGGGTGATGAATCCAAAAAGATATAGCATCAAGTTACAAAACTTCAACCTACAAGTTGTTAGATTTTTCGAAAATGTAGAGAATACCTCGCTTTACAATTTGTGATTTTGCTATCTACTGCAGCAGCCAGGTACATCATCATCATCATCGTTGCCAAATTCATGTAATGCAAAGGATTTGAAGTCTTTGCATTGCCCTGAAGTTTGACACACTTTGGATTATCAACCTTATTCTATATAGCTCAGTGATTTTTTTCCCCTTGTCAACTGCCATGCATATTCATACTCATATACAAAAAAAAAAAAAAAATTTTTGCATGCCATGCTGAATAAAAGAAGAATACACCAAAATTCAATCACTCCCTTAATCCACATATTTGCTTGGGCATATTGTCTTTAGTTCCCTACGCCAATCGCGCGATTTATGCCTCCTATTACCCTTAACACGTTCAACCAAAACTTGGAAGATCCAATTATCAAAAATTCAGTAGTCCAGATTAACCCACACCACTTGGTGAGATGGGTAACATAATTTGACCCACTGAATTTCTAAAGATCGGATCTACTCAAATGTGAGTCAAGTGTAAACTTTCGATGGCTACCCAAAACAAAAAGACTTTTAAGGTACTTTTGAGTCGTGGTTTTGCTTAAAAAGTGATTAGATCAGTTCTAGACATGAGAGATTTCTTCTTTTGATCTTCTTTTGGTTTTAAAGTATTCTCAAGAAAATTGCTTTTCAATTATGTATAAGAAATTCCTTTTCCTACTCCACTTCATCTTTTAAAAGCTTTGGTAGATTCCCTCCATTCATGTTTAGTGGAGTAACAATTTTTTTTAATATTTGAATCCATTCATGTTTAATGGAGTAACAATTTTTTTTAATATTTGAATTCCTTGGCAAACGGTACTTTCCTGTGAATTCAAAATTTTATTTATTGCAAAATAGAGGAAATTTATTTCAATGACATATCTTCAAAGTAAAAGCTTCAGCAGTCATATAGAAATGTTTGGAGGCGTAACGTGATTCCAATTTTAACTACTACATTTTATTCACTTCTCCACTAATCATATCTCCATAAGAAGGCAATCCATTGGAGAGTTAGAGTAGAAGCGTCTCATGACCCAAAGTTACAATAATTTATATTTAAGAGTGGAACATTTGATGCTCAGAAGTCATAAAAAATGTTCATATCCATATGCCAACTGATTAGAGAGGCTGATGCGATATCCATCTCTCAAGCATAGTTCTGCATTCGGCAGGCTTGAACATATAAGCAACATGGCTTCCTCCCTTCACCCAAAAAAGAAAAAAGAAAAAAGGGGTGCCAGTTAGTCCCAAGAATGTTCTGACCTTCTTGTTAGTCGTTACCATGTGAACAAATCTTGCACTGAAGCAATAGAAACAGGAATTTCTTGCCTTCACTGTTGCAAATGTCATCTTATTTGCGTAGGTCATTGTGTATCTGGAAGCAGGAAAACAGAACAAATTTAGATGAGTTGGGTAAAGTCATCTTTTTATCTCGTGCTAATGGTGATGTAATCAAGAAAAGAAACATTGTTCAATTTTGAACCAAACCCGGCAACTTGGCCTTCATGAATCCACTGTCTCCAATCGTCAATAATTGGGTAATGTAGAGATCTTATCCACGCTTGAGTTTCAATGTGCGGGGCCAACAGATCATGGTCACCACTGAATCACAAAGTACTCCACTTTCAGTACTTAAAATCACTGCTGTTAACTTACATGCATCAAGATTCAGAGCTAGGTACCAAACCTGTATACAAGGGATCTATAACCTTTAGTGCTAAGGTTTGCATGATATGGTACAACAGTCGCTGCATTTTCTGTGTATGGCAAGAAATCGTTGCATCTTAACCACTGTCCGATAGTTTCCTGCAATGTGATTACAGAAATCAGTTCAGGCTTGCTTCGGCATTCAAATGCTACATACCATAGTGCTCGATTTAGACATACCCTTCGCACATGGAGGGCCACTTGGACACTCTTGTTGTTAGCCCAGTGCTGAAGGAGCATAGTCCATTCTGTCTACGATTGCCAGTGAACAGAAGAAACGCGATCAGTTGTGCTACCAAGAACTGATGCTCTTATCCACGAGTTTACATAGAACAATACTAGTAGTATCTTACTCGACATTTGACATGAGTAGATTCCCGAACGTCTAGCTCTTCAAACTTCTCATACAACATTTGCATAATGGATCTCCCACCAGTAAATAATTTATTTGGCTCTCGTGAAAGGGGATGACATACGGGAATCAAGATATTTTGATTGTCAATATTACGAACCACCAACTGCAGAAGAAAATTATTAACCATCATTCTGGTTACCCGTTCCTTTATTCTGATTCTTCCCACCTTTTCACCTTTGTGGCCCACAAATTAAAGGGAAGGGGTAGGAACCAATTGTTATAGTACAACCGTTTCTGGAAAGTGTATTATTGTTCGAATAAACCATAATTCATTGTTAACTTCTACAATTTCGTAACAGAAGTATGATGTTCGATTACTGCTTGTGTAAGCCCCTAACATTAACTGCAACTCTGTTACGAAATTGTATAAGTTACAATAAATTACTTCTTGTTCAAATGATATTACACTATTCAGGAACGTTTTATTGATGATCCTTAACTCTGTCTCTCTTTCTTGAGTTTAGGGGGCACTTTAAGTAAATCCATTAGGCCTTGCCTAATTTTTAAAATAGTCACATAAAAATTGCATAGATATGATTGCTTGCCTCATTGTATGCCTGCATATTTTTCGAACACACTGCATTACTGGGATCTATGATTTCATATTCCCCTTTACAGCTAACCTTCAAGGACTGCATTGTAAATATGCAGGTCATTTAGAAAATCACAGGTAATTTTACATTGCAAGAATGCATGTGACAAATGACAGTGTTCTAAGATATCAATAGGTAACAAACAAAAGAAATAAGTTACCTCATAGAGTTCATCAGAAATCAGCCCCATCCTATAAGCAAACAGAACCCTATAGTTCAGAAGTCCTGAAACCTTGATCTGTGGATTTCCAAGTATGTATCCCTGAAGCCATAAATGAAAATGTCTCGGTTTTAAACTCAGGATGGTAAATTTTTCTCCAAATAGTATGTAATCAATCAAGATTAGGTAGACTAGAAAAGAGAAGATCATCAAAGGTATAGACCTTAAGATCAATACGTGGTTCAATGCCGTCCTCGTTTCCTGGAATAACACCAAAATACATGTAAGTTTTAGTGTCTTAATAGTCATAGAGCAACAAAGCATTGATCCTATACTCTCCTTATTTAGCAAACTTCAACTGATCATCTTGTGGCAGGAGATAATGTAGAACTCTGAACTGGTCAAAGAAACGTTTTCTTGCTTTATCCTGGAGCGTCTTATAACTTAACATATTGACAGAAAAGAAAAAAAAGCCTGCAAATTTCTGAGGGAACTTTTAACCATTTTTCCCCCTCTTAAAGCTCTGCATTATGTTAATAAAACCCATTTAGCTTAAGGTAGCAACTACATTCCTACCAAAAGAGACTTCGCATATACTACAAGCTTACAGAAAGCATTTATAGTATATTCAGATCTCTTACAATGCCTATGTATCTGCATGACAATTTCAATAATCAGATTGTAACACAACCAAAAAACTTCCCCAGGGTAAAAAGCCACATTGAAAAAATCTTACCATTTGATATAAGTTGAGTTAATATTGGAACAGGAATGCCCCCATACGAGATTCCACTAACATAGAATGGATTCGACTTGTACTCTGGGTGATCATGTAGCCACTGCAGTATAATCAACTATCAAAACCAATCTTGTAAAAGGTAAACATCTTTTAACTATAATTTCTTTCCCATTTCAAGGGAAATTAAGCTTTTAACTCGAGGTTCAAATGGGTAAAAACGCAACAAATATCGCCTGCCCAAGCCTCTATAATTGGCAGTTGTAATTGCACTGTGTACTATAGGCACTAGCAAACCAATTGTAGACATTAAGATACAACAACATGCAAAAAGACAATAAATTGCCTCGCTTATTGAAATTTGTACCCAAAATTGAATTGTAAGCATCAAATTCAAAATTAGTCATCTTCCACTATCTTTTCAAGGTAAAACTGTAAGTTCATTGATATTGGACAAGTTTGTACAAGAGATAGAATATCTCAGTATACATGTTAAACTAATTATCATAGGAGTCCGTATCAGAACATTTCACTAACTAAACACTGTGAGTGGGATATTCCATTCTAGAGATTGCCACATTTCATGAGACTTTGGGATCTTTCCCCATGCAAGACCTCCTCCTCTACTATGGCTTCCATGATGCTAACTGTCGAAACTACCATAGCCAGTTATTATTGATGTAACTTTTATTCATCTTCCACTGTCAACTGTTCTATACAATCAAAACCGTGTTCATAGAGAACTTGAATCCAATGGAGGCAATTTTGGGAGGGCTACGCAGGATTCCGCTATTCAGAAGGAAATTAATTAAATGATAGTACACTGGTCTTTTTGCATAATAAAGGGTCTAGAGACAAGTATGGCATTTTCCTTGTTAGTAATTGTCCAACGTTCCATGAAGCCTTATGATTCATTAATTAGCTGAGTGATGGGCGTGTACCTTCCTGATAAATTCATAAGCTTGATCAGAGGCTTGAAAATCTGAAGATTGAGAAGCTTCTGCAGTCTTAGCATAAGAAAAACCAGTTCCAACTGGCGAATCCAGAAAGATGATGCTTACAACCTAACAAGTAACAAGAAATGATTCTCAATCTTGCAGTCAACTCGAATTCTTAATCTTGAAAGTTAGGTTTGTTTGGATAAAGATTATTTGAACATTATTTGAAAAAAAAAAAATTTGGAACCTTATTTATACATGTATCTCAACAACCTTTTCATCTAGGATACATCACATCATAATAAATGCTAAATAACACTTCTATGAGTCTAAGATATACTCATCAACTTAAATCTCTTTTTCTCTTGCAAGAAAATAAAATAAAAGAAAAGAGAAACTCAATTCTTGAGCTTACCTTGGTCCAAGTATGGGGATTTAATACCAAGTTGGGCAGAGTGCCGTCGAACGACAATGGCTCGACAATTACTGGCCCTGCAACAGAAAATCACGGGCCAGTGACTTGATCAAATGCTGGCACTCCAGTTTATCAATCATCATCACTTGAACATTAAAGACAAAAAAAGACGATGGCTCCATTTGAATTAGCCGTTTTGAGGAATGTTTTTCAAAAGCTTTATTATAGCAATGCATATGAAAAAAATATTTAGGTGTGTGTTTTTGTAGCTTAGTTTATATTTTGGGCTTTTCTACGTGCATCTTTAAGTTGATGCGAATGTGTAGTAAGTTAATGTACAGATATTTGTAGCAGTTGCTACTGGCAACAAATGGATGGTATTCAATAAAATTAATACTTTTACCCAAAAAAACAAAACAAAAGACCTTACATAAAGCTTCGTCAACCAGACAACAACGTCTTTTGTCTTTTTTGCAGAGTTTCAACCAGAAAGGCTGTTTGCAGAGTTTGAAGATTATACAAAATCAAGAACAAAAAAGTGCCGCAATTGTTTTTTTTTTTTTTTTGGGCGACACCTAATGCAAAGTGTAAGGCATTAGAATTCACCTGTCCCAAAGAAAAGTGCAATAAATGAACTGCAGCCAGGTCCTCCATCTAACCAAAGGATAAGAGGATCCGATTCAGGATTTGACTCTGACTTGATAAAAGCGTAGAAGAGCTGCACATCCTCTGATTCACCAACTCCAATGTACCTGATAATATCAGAAAATGGATCAACTATTTCTTCTAAGTTTTGATCAATGTTAATTTCTAGTGTTATTAAATATATGTTATACTTAGTGGCTCACCCGGTTTCGAGTTCAAAGGGGAGGGGTCCTTCAAATCCTGGAAGAAACTTAACTATGGAACCAGCCATAGCAAGGTTTGAACATGCTTGAACATAAACTAGCAGCAAGAACAGGTTGCAGAAGATAGGATGCCTTAGGAGCACCTGCAACTTCTCCATTGAGCTTGGCCTATCTCTCGTTTTGGGAACTAGGCAGAGCAACTTTAGACTCCAGATCCGAGTTCTTGGAACTTTGGAACTCTAACCCAGAAGCTGCTATGTCTACAGAGAATCGCCTTATCGGAGCCGATAATTTAACTGACCCTAGCAACACAAATGTCTTGTTTGCCAACTCATGCATTGGGAAGCGGGACAACCGTCTTGACAGTTCACTGCTAAGATTTGGCTAAAAAAATTTGTACATCCAGATTTCATCTTGTATGCCGATTACATGTTATTAAAAATAAGTTACATCATAAATAAATAAAATTACGCCGTATACAAAATGCACATAATTGTCTGGAACGATTCCACCTGGGACCGTTCCTGCCCTTAGTCCAATTCATTGCAGGATCGAACTATTATTGGAAATTATAGCTTCACTGTGAAGGGGCATGGAAAAGACTTAGCTCCGGTTTTCAAAGAAGGTCCAAATTACGTTACTTTACTTAGTCAAATGGTGTTAAACTATTGAATTTTTGAAAATTAAGTTTACCTAAATTTTAACAGTGTATATAAATAACTATCAAAATGTTTGCGAAAAGATGATAGGATAAAATCTGCCAAGTACCAATGAATGATCGATCAAAACAAAGCAACTCATCAGAAGAATTTATCCAAAAAGAAAAAAAGAAAAATATCTCACTATCCTTTGAGCTCTTTGATTTTAATAGCTAAAATATGTTTCAAGCAAATTATAAATCATACAATGCTAAAATCCGCACACAAGATAACTTCGTTAGAGCATCTCCAACCGCGTGGAATAAGCGGTGTAATGTCTGACAGCTTAAGAGTTGGTCACACGGCTACCCATTGTGGCCGCGTAATACCCATTAGTCATTACATGCATCATTCTAATGATGCGTGTAATGGGTGGGCCATCCCATTATAAAATTTAGCCGTAGGAAAACTTTTGCCCAACAAATAAGCAGTGTATTTGATTTAAATTATGTAATATTAGGTTATGGAAATCAAACTAATTACATAAAGAATTATTAATTGAGTATGGATTATTATGATATAATCGCATTTGAGGTATCACATATTTGTTTAACGTTCTGCATAATTATTTTTCAAAAAATAACAATATATTATTTTTGAGAGATAGAAAAAGATATATTGTTCAAACTTAGAAATGAATAATATTATTTTTAGAAAATAAAAATTCAAAAGGTAAAAAATTTAATGAAACTTAATACTTTATTTTTTAAAAATAACAAAATTATTTTTAAAAATTACTTTATTTATTTATGGAATATGAGTTATGCATTATTAAAATAAATATTTGATTTAATTGTGGACTCATTTTATTACACCTTGTGGAGTGTAATCCATTGTGAGTGGAAGTGCAATAAAAGAGAAGAAAGTGGAATGCTGACGTGGCACGTGGATTACGCTCTAAAGAATGTAAACCATTGTGGATGTCCTTATGGGTATCTTAGTTGGTGGACGCTTGGCATGTGTTAAAACGTTAATATACGAGTTTGGTTTATTGAAGAATTTTTTGAAGTTGCCACCCAACTTTCAAGTTACGTGCACTTTTCTTTACCAAGTGTCATGCTTACACTTTTCTTCTTAAAAAGGTGGCATAAGGACGAAATAAAATTTACCTTGTTATGAAAATTGCCTTATTTTTGTTTTAAGTAGTAACATGTAATGAGAGTGAGGGAAGGGCTTCCTGCTACGTGAGAAACGTCATAATACGGTTGCGTCGGGATTCAAATTAGATTTTTCTATTTTTCTCACATATCGAGTTTTGTCTTTATAGATATAGATTTAATAATTGAGTCAAACCACATTAATCTTGTATCTACTCAAAGTTTCATGTTTTTTATTTGTTTCCTTTAAATTGTCATGCACTTAATTTTCAATGATTCTTTGTTAGCACTTGGATCTCAGCATCTAGTATAATATCATAGCTAGGTTTTGGTTAATTATTGATATTAAGTGAGTTGCGGTTATTTTCAATTCAATAATTTAATAGAAAAAGAATATTCATGTCAAAAAGGCTTGGCATTGAAGGGAAAGGATCGAAAGACAACAAACGTAGAGGATATTTGACAGTAAATTTGGGCAAGTGATTCAGAAGACATGGAAAAACATAGAGTCCAATGTTAAAATAGGATGTAATTTAGTGGAAATGTTCTTAACAATTTCCAATGGTATGTATTTGATGTTGGATGTATTTCAGTTTTGTTGTTTAAGCGGTATGATATATGTATCAAAAAAATCCACAAAAAAAAAAAAAAAAATCTAACTCTCATGCATCCTGAGACTCTCAAAGTTACGAGATTTTCATTAATGGTGGAATTTTAAAAAGCACACACGGGGGAGACAATATTGTGAAGGGGAAAAGTATGGTGATTTAAAAAAAAAAAAATTTGTTTCTTGATTACCTCAATAGTTGGGAGCAGAATTAAAAAAAAGGGATCCAAGATTACTTTCAAGTTGTAAGTAGTGGTGAAAAGGAAAATCCTACAAACTTAAGTCAACTAAAAGTTGGACTCGGATTAGCTATGTATATATGGACATTACAGCAACGTAATAATTTGGTATGTATAACTACACATCAAGCTTTTTGGTGGAGATTATTAGGAAATTACTTATTTTGTTTAGGCAATTTTTATTTTGTGTGACAAGTAAATACTTTTCTAGTAATTTATACGTATTTGGAGTAGTTGCTAAGAAATTTTGTATTTATATACATTTGGAAATCAGGTAAGTTATTTTTTTATTATTATTGAAGTATTTGTCAAGTAATATATCCTATAAATTGAAGGGGACTATCATATCATAAATTAATAAATTAAAGTACACAAAAAGGAGTCATGTGTTATAGATGAGAGTGAGAAAAAGAACTTTGGTATATGAGAAACATTACACAAGGGTTGGGTTTAGAAAATAAGATATGCTATGGACTAATTTAAAACTTTATATGATGAAAAGTTTACTATTTTTGAATAACTTGGATTTTCAAAAATAAAATTTTAAATTATAAGTTGAAATAAATAAATTTCATCTCAATTTCAATTATATCTACCAAAAAATAATCTTAAATCCAACCCAAAAATACCACAATATTTTAAAATTATACAAAATTCGCATCTATGAGAATTTAGACATTGTGAACTTAAATTTTAATTTACGTTTTTGGGATTTAGAGATTGCAATTTAAAAAAGGAAGTTTGGAGTTTGAAAGAAATCAAGAGAATCGAAAATAGAAATGCAAACTTGATAAGGAAAAAAAATGAGATAAAAGTGAGTGGTTGTGGCATTAAATAATTAGTCTTTAGATTTTTTAAAATTTTTTTGACCGATTTTCTTTAGATTTTTTAAAATTTGTTTAATTATGTACTAACTAATATGACAATTGTTTATGAGAATGATTTATACATTAAGCGAGTGCTTTTCTTTTTTATTTAATTACATAAACCAAATTATAGATATTAATGTTTCTAAGAATGATTTTTAAGTTATGCTGAGGACAGTGATGCTGAAATGTTTATTTTTAAATTGATATGCTGAAATTTTAATGCTATAGGGTCAATAACTGAACCTACGCTAATAGCTCGGTAGTGTCAAGATCTATAGCGGTAACCTTCTTTGGACCCAAATCATCGTGGTATTGGACCACAATCTTCCTGCCACTGGGGGGGAAAGGGAAAAAAAAAGAAGCACAAATCGCAAAACACAATTTTCATAGGACGTAAGAAGTAATAATTTTGACTCAAAGTTCTTTTCATACACTGTTTGATTGAAACTATCATTAACACACCATGTGCTAAATAGTCTAGAAGACGTGATTAAAATGATTCGGTAATTCTAACTTACCTCCCAAGTTCACAGGCAGAGCACGCCTGTCGTTTGAAGATTCAAAGTTGTGTACATAGTTCCTAATTTCTGCCGGCGCAGACACAGACTATTACCTATACACAAAGGAATTACCAACAAATAGTGAAAATTGGGACCAAACTTTTGTAATTTGAAAACTTCGGGGACCAAAATGCATCATCGTTTATAAGGGACTCAATAAGTATAAATTCCAAATGTTATGGACCCATTGTGACATAGATATCACACATTTGCATGTGGCATCAATCGTAAACAACTAACGTTTGCAGGGTAAGGTTTTGTCGGTTGCTTCTATGGTGGAAAGCTGAGTCATCTTTGCATGGGGGGAAGCAGTAATAGGAACAGGACAACAAAGTTTGGTGAGTTTGGTGAGCCAGATAATAGACAAAAATGAAATTTGCAACCGAAGACAGGCAAGAACCGGTAATGAACAAGGGGCCGTAGTTTAATTTTGGCGCTTCCTTAAGATAAAGCCTGTTTTCGTGAAGGAATAAAGATGCCGTTTTTGTGTTTTCAGTTCAAGCATCCGTGAGATATTTTTACCTAATGCAACATCTCCAATTATATTAAAATGGCGTCTTTATCTCTTTGGAAATTCGAAAGACATTTTAAAGTGGTGTTTTTCCTATTTTGTTTAAAGTAATTTATCCAATTTTTGTCATTTAATTTTTTAATTCTATTTATTGGTTCAAAACCATTTTTCCTTTATTGCATTTATCCTTTTAATTCTTTTTTAATATAATTTAACCAACTTTTTCTTTTTTCTTTAAGCAAAATACTATTCTTATAATTTGTGAATGGCTATCCCAACTATCGATGATTACGCAAAGGTATGTACATGAAAATTTTCAATTGAGTAATTACATTAGTGAATTATTTTACCCTAGCAATAATCACAAATAACCAAGAAATCTTGACAATTCAAAGTTACGTACACTTCTTGCAAATCCCAAATGCATAGATGAAATTCACAATATGGAAGCATATGATCTTATAATTTTACTGTTATACCCATCATTCAAATCTCTCAAATTTGAGATGTTAATCGCGTGCATTTTTTGTGTGTGTAGCTTAACCACTATTTCATCTTGTTTCTTGAGTTTCTCTATGGTTCTAAGATAATAAGGGTGCTTTTTTTGTTAAAACAAAAAAAGAAAAGAAAAAGGTTGGCTAAATTACATTAAACAAAAGAAAAACATAATTAAAAGAAGGTAAGTGCAATGAACAAAAAATTGCTTTTGAACAAATAAAGAAAGGGAAAAATGT